AATAATAATAATAATAATAAAATAAAAATGAATAAATGGGGTATTACAATTCCCCCCGCACAAATAAAGAGCCGACCACGGCTCGGTAATTAATAGAACATTGGTCACAATAATATCAAACTGATAATACCAGTCATTAATAATGCACACATAAACACCTTAATAACAACACATTACTTTTAATAATAACTAACAAGAACACACTATTAATAATAATGAGAAATAATAATAACTCAGGCAATACAATATCCACTACACAACAACATAATTTACAACAATAATAATAATAAAATAATAATACAAAATAACAACAAAAATTACAAATGCTAAACACACATGCACAATATTAATAACAATCAAGACTCAATACAATATCTGTAGTACCTTCAGTTTATTTACGAGAACGACGTTTACCCAACCAACTAGTGTCTAGCAATTCATTAGGGCAGAGAGTAACACGATCCAAATTCACTCTAATTGTAGCATCTCTCGGTTTGTCGACCGGTTTAACTGTCACTCCATTTGGATGTACTTCTACCACTCGATATGGACCAAAGTGTGGGCGGGCCAGTTTCCGATTCTTTCCCATAGCCTCATGTGGCATATACACCATAACTCGGTCTCCCACTCGGATGGGTTTTACTCGGACCTCCTTATCACGCTGCTTCTTTTGAGCCTTCTGGGCTTTGGAAATTGAGCTCCGGGCAATATCCCATGCTTCGGTCAAACTAATCATCAGTTCAGATTTGTAATCGTCTACATCGACCATATAAGGACTCCTCCTCTGAGATAGTGTTTCATCACCAGGTACTCTAGCATCTCTCCCATACAGTAGGAAGAAAGGTGATTCTTTGGTACTCTCGTGGTACTTGGTACGATAAGCAAATAATAGTTTGGGTAAGTATTCATCCCAATTATCACCATGTAGTGAGCTATACTTAGCAATCATAGCACGAAGGGTTCTGTTCATATTTTCCACCAATCCATCCGTCTGTGGATGGCTAGCAGTAGTATTTATTTTCTCAATTCCTGTTAATGCATAGACATCCTTCATCAATCCAGACAACAGATTAGTACCTCTATCAGATAACAGTTGGTCTGGTACTCCATGTCGACAGATTATCTCATTAACAAGTAAGGTAGCAATTGTTTCACTGGTTTGGTCTGCAGCTGGAAATGCTTCCACCCACTTAGTCAGATAGTCCACAAACACAATGACATATTTATTACCATGAATGGTTAGGGGTAACTCCATGATGTCCACACCCACACGATAAAAGGGTCCACCCACAGGGATGGGCATGAGTGGTGGCTTCATTCTCCTCCCAGCTCCGTCAAAAGATGCACAGGTAAGTCATCCCTTACAATGAGAGAGAGCATCCCGATACATCCCTTTCCACCAGTATTTTTTAGCCAGTGAGTTATAGATTGCTCGACCAGAGAAGTGTCCAGCAAAATTGCCACTGTGAGCAGACTTGAGCAGCTGCTCTCTTTTCGCTAAAGGAACACACAACCGTAATGGATTCCCTTCCTTTGAACCACAGTAGTACAGCATATCGTTAGCCAATACAAAATCATCTGGCTTATCGTCTCCTTTTAAAGAAATGAGAACTTGCTGTAACTCAGGATCCTCTTGCTGTAGTTTAGCATACTCCTTCTCTTCATCTGATGTAGTAATAGTAGCTATCTGAATTGTCTCTGAAGAGCTGCTTCCCATCTTAGCTTGAAGAGGCGATCGAGACAAGGCGTCAGCATTAGCATTCTGCCTTCCTGGACGATAATGAATTTCCAGATCATATTCGGAAACAGCTTGGGACCACCTCGCTAATTTACCACTGGAATGCTTGGCATAAAGTAGTGATCTCACCGGTGAATGATCAGTGTACACTGTAGTCTGTGACCCCAGATGAAGGCTCTGAAATGCTTCAGTGCCCAGACCATGCCGAAGGCTTCCAGTTCAGTGATACCATACCTCCTTTCATGAGGCGATACTGTTCTGCTTGCATATGCAATAGGGTGAGAAGTTCCGTCATCCTGTACCTGCTCTAACACTGCTCCTAATCCTTCACCACTAGCATCTGTATGGAGCACGAATGGTTTACTAAAATCTGGATACACAAGCACATGGGGTGAGGTTAGTAGATCCTGCAGCTTTTGAAACGACTGTTAACACGCTTCAGTCCACACAAATGGTACTTCCTTACGCAATAGCTGATGAAAAGGAGATGCAATCTTAGCAAAACTAGGCACAAACTTTTGATAGTAGCTACAGAGTCCAATGAATCCTCTCACAGCCCTGACACAAGTTGGAATTGGGAACTGCTTCACAGCATCAATCTTATTAGAATTCGGTCAAACTCCCTCAGCTGAGATAAGGTGTCCCAAGTATTCGACCTCAGGGAGTGCCAGTTGACACTTTTGGGGATGTAACTTAAGGCCATACTCCTCCAGTCGTTTGAACACTTTCCGTAAGTGAATCCAATGCTCCTCCAAATTCCTAGAAAATATAAGAATGTCATCAATATACACATTACAAAAACTACCTAATCCTGTGAGAATTTGCTGCATCAGTCTTTGGAAAGTGGCTGGGGCATTGCAGAGGCTGAAAGGCATGACATTAAATTCAAAAAGTCCATCGTGAGTTACAAATGCTATCTTCTGCTTCGAATCTTCACTAACAGGAATCTGCCAATATCCCTTTCGAGCATCGAAAGTAGAGCAAATGCACTTTCCTTGCAGCTGATCTAGAAGGTCGTCTATACGAGGAAGAGGAAACATGTCTTTCCTGGTGATGGCATTTAGTCGTTGATAATCAACACAAAAACGTAGACTACCATCCTTCTTCCTCACAATAACAACAGGACTGGCCCACGGGCTAGATGATGAACTGATAACTCCATCCTTCATCATTTCTTCCACCATCTTAGAGATCTTCTCTCGTAGGGCAAAAGGAACACATCTCACTGCTTCCTTGATTGGCTTGTTGTCTTCAGTGTCTATGGTATGCTCCACTCCCTTTACTGATCCTTTCTCCATTTCCTCTAGTGAAAAGACTCTGTGAAACTCTAAGGCACACTCCAAAATCTTCTCTGGGACCGTCGCTCCATTTTTCCTGAAAATTGCTCCTAGTTGCTGCCGTCTCTCATCACTAGTCAGTAAGGTAGGCACTCCAGTCTTCAACATAGTAATCATTCCGCCTTCTTTCTCATGGGTGTCAATGTGTAGGTTACCCTTCATTATCAATCTCTACCTCAGTCACCTGACCAAGCTCCATTCCTTCGTCTAAGTTTATGGTCTCATCTGACAGATTCATCACAGGTAGGTTAAGCTCTCCCCCGTCAATATGAACCAGTGCTTCTTCTATGACTACGTTACACAACTCACGTGGCTTGAAGTAGAATGACACTCCAGGGTCCATCATTGTCTCTGCTGTCAGGCGTAATACAACTCCACTTCTAGCTGGAATTCTTCCACCTTCCACTAGCTTTACTGAAGCTGCCACTGCCTCCCGACAATCCGCAAGCCCAACCTCCTCTCCTCGGACCTTCACTCCCTCCGATAAATGCAATATACCTAAAGAAAATAAAAGGTTAGTACCAACTACCAAATATACATGATTCAGTCAGTCTATTCTCAGAGTCCACATTGATGTATATGGGGGTCAGCACAGTCTTCCCTTCAAACTTGACTTCTAATTTGGCCACAGCCCCTATCTTGAGTGGGTGCTGATTGTAGTCCCTCAGTACTACGTCAGGTTTCTCAAGTATGTCCACTGGAAGGTTAGCTTTCTTTGCGATCCTCTGATAAAGATTAAAAGTCATAACAGTGGCCGAAGACCCTGAATCAATAAGTGCTTCTACTGACTGACCCTCCACCTCTGCTTCGCAATAATACAATGGTCCAAAAGCTCCTGTAACAGTGTCTACTTGTAATGTTCTTTTCGTTCTTGCCAGCTCAGCTTCCAACCATTGCTGGTGAAGTTTCTCACATTCTCCATCCCTATTGTCATGATACTGGCCTGTAATTGCATTGCTAGAGTATTGCTCCCTTCTTCCAGGTGTCTCAGTGGTCGACTTCTTTATGGGACAGTCTTTAATGAAATGCCTAGTACTTCCCCACCTGTGACACTTTGGCTTATGCTGCTCCTTGCTATGGGTATTGGACCTTTGACTCTGATTGCTATCACTCTGGTCAGTGGGCTTCTTTGCTGGATGAACTGGATTACGCTGACCAGGGTGCATCTTGGCTAGCTGCTTTGTGTATGTCTCTGCTGATGCTAGGACCTTCTCCTGCCACTTCAGAAGCAAGCCTTGTATAAACAGATCCCTCTTGAGCATAGAGCTAGAAACTTCATCCATTCCCTGCCTCTGGCCATAGCTCAGATCAAAGAGCCTGTTGTCTCCTCCTCATGAGCTGTGCAGACCTAAGGGCTTCCCTTCCAGCAGGTATTAATCGCTTCTTCAACGCCTCAGTGGCTTCCTGATAAGATATAGAGCGGTTGCAGTGACGTCACTTTTTGACGTCATAATTACTTCCGTATGGCAAAAATTAATGAGCCTCATTCATTTACAGCAGTAGAGTTGCTTCTTCTATAACTTCTTTTACACAGCACAAGGCAGAAAAGGAGTACAATTCTAGCGGTAGTAAGCAGAAAAGTAGCAATAGCAATAATTACAGGAGTAACAAGGCAATGCTGTGTTCACTTCGGCCGCTTCACTGGTTCTCTATCCGAACACTTTTTGCTTCCTTTGCATCCCTGAGTCCAGGAAAATGAAAGAGCAGCATGAATTAGCCATGCTCATAGTTAAGGAAGCCTGCCAGAAGAGTTTATAGCGCTGTACAAATGAATGGCAAAGTAGCCATTTTGCCATGCGGAAGTAATTATGACGCAAGCTATGACGTCATGTGAAACCGCTCTATACGATCCCCAGCTGGTAACAACTCCTACAACTTCTCAGCCCTTCCTGTCAACAGCAACTCAAACTGGATTAGCTTCTCCCCATCTCTCCACTCATAATTCAGCTATCCATTCTAGCTTACGGAGCCACCTCAAAAACGCTCCTTCATCATCTACGTCTTCCCCGTTAAACTTGGTTAGTGTCTCACTGAATCTCATACCTGTTGGTCGGCGACGAGCTCCATCACCAGTAGTTTCCACCTGCTGCTGCAGTTGCTCTACCTTCTCCCTGAGTAACTGGATCAAGTAATCCGAAGATTCAAGCTCCCGCTTGTGTGTCTGCTGCAGTTCTTCTCTGGTGGTCTCTTTTGCTCTCAGGACTGCAACTTCAGATTCCCTCTCTGACTCCTCTAGCCTCCACCGGGTTTCCGCAAGCTGATCCTCAAGATCACCTGTGGCGTCTCCTTGAGTTTCTCTTCTCAGCTCCTCAATCGTTGCGCGTAGCTCGGTGACCTCCTCTACTCGAGCAGCTAAAGCATCCTTCTCCTTTGTAATCCGATTCACCTCCTGCTTAAAAGACTCTACTGAGGCACGGGCCTCGTCCAGCTGGACCTTCATCTCGGCCTTAGTCATGGGCATGGCGAATCCTCTTCGATTTTCTTCCTGGATCTCGGTGGGACCTCCAAATGTAACGACGCTGGGGCTATCGCTTAATATTTTACCTATCGTAATAGGGTGAAGACAAGTTAACAGAGATTCAGCTTAAAAGAAGACTCTCTTACCAAAGAACACTCAAAAAGCACGAGCAATGGTGCACACACCACGCCCTTTAATTAATAACTAGACGAATGTAAAACATTAAGGGGCTCAGCCCACTAGCCACGCTATATTTTAAAGGTTATATGGTATAGAGCTACATTATTGTACATGTACATGAGTAAATACAGTAGTTTGTAATGAAGTCATCATGCTTGGAAATACAAATTTTCTTTATCAGTTTATCACATTCTGCAGCAAAAAAGTTGTGTTGGAAGCCAGAGACAGTAACTGCAGTCATAGGTTATGTCAGTAGTTGTGGAGGCTTTACAAGCTCACAACTGTGGCATATCTGCCTTCTTAATCTTCCTTGTTGTATTTGGAAAGTAGTAGAGACTTCTCTTGCATTCTTGCTGACTCAAGTGAGTGACTTGTAACTTGTAAGGTCAAGAACATGAACTGAGAACAATGAAGAATTGATAGCTGGCGCTATTTTATTTCACTGTGACCACACCCGTTTTCAAAGAAGATTAAGATTAGGTTATTAAAATAGGAAAATTTTTCATACGGATAAATAGGGGTGACGTACGTGTACAAACAAACAAACAAACAAACATACTCTACTCAAACTAGTGGGCTTCGCCCAATAACTAGGCGAATGTAGAACATTGAAGGGGCGAGCACAAGCTAGCATGGCAATATACAATGTTTAGATGTCACAAAGGCTAATGTTGTTGTCAAATTGTAAATGATACAATGCAGAGCAGCTCAGAACTTTTGACTTGCATGCATGAAAGGAAATTTTATAGCTTGCTCTTCTAGCTTTATTAGCAGTGAAGAATCTCAGTTGTAACTTTAATAAGTATAGTTTAATTTTTACTATGATATTTTGAAGCACAGTACTTTTAGACTTTTTTTTCTCTGATGAGCCATTTGAAGTGCTTTTATATTCTGTCATTCAACCATAATTAATAAAAACTTAAAGATTTATGTGTGTTTTCTTGAATTTTCTCTGCTGATGAAGTGTCTTGACAAGAGATCAGTCCTATGTTGCTGCAAGTAAGATTGGCTAAGGTAGGTGCCATTTTAATTTCATTGCAACCACACCCACATCAATGAAAATATTTCATTAGAATGCTACCGCATTAGATCATTGATTTTTAAATAGATATTGTGCACACATGGGGTGTGACCAGAATAGGCGTGACTGGAGACGTACGTACATACATACATACATACGGAGGGAGGGAGGGAGGGAGGGAGGGAGACTTCGCCTGAGTGGGGCTCGCTTATGCTCGCCCCAATAATAATAACTAGACGAATGTAAAACATTAAGGGGCTCAGCCCCCTAGCCACGCTATATTTTAAAGGTTATATGGTATAGAGCTACATTATTGTACATGTACATGAGTAAATACAGTAGTTTGTAAGTTTGTAATGAAGTTATCATGCTTGGAAATACCAATTTTCTTTATCAGTTTATCACATTCTGCAGCAAAAAAGCCTGTTGTGTTGGAAGCCAGAGACAGTAACTGCAGTCATAGGTTATGTCAGTAGTTGTGGAGGCTTTACAAGCTCACAGTAGAGACTTCTCTTGCATTCTTGCTGATTCAAGTGAGTGACTTGTAACTTGTAAGGTCAAGAACATGAAGAATTGATAGCTGGCGCCATTTTATTTCACTGTGACCACGCCCGTTTTCAAAGAAGATTAAGATTAGGTTATTAAAATAGGAAAATTTTTTTATACGGATAAATAGGGGTGACGTACGTGTACAGACAGACAGACAGACAAACATACTCTACTCGAACTAGTGGGCTTCGCCCAACAAGTAAATAAAAAAACATTAAAAATGGAAAAGCAGTAGGATTAAAAATGGGAAAAAGTAAAGAAACAAGAGAGTACTTGCAAACTGGTGTGAGAAGATATCCTACACCACTGCATGAACTTGCAAAAGACTATGATTATTCCCAAATACTGAGCATGCACCATAAAGGCTTACACAGTTACACCAAGAGTGGATAATTATTTAGGGAGAGTGTCTAACCTGCCTATATTCTGTGATACCACAGCGCGTATGTTTACATCCGTTTTTTGCAAGTAGTCTATACAGAGTTAATCTCAGTAATCTTCAAATTTATGGGTGTGGCTGATAAAATGGCGCTTGAAGCATGCAAGCAACTTTAAGACTTATATCTCCACTCTGAGGATCATGTAGTGCGAGAAACAAGCAGGAGC